AGTGTAAACATTTCGAGACAGAACTTACCTCTCGGAGTAGTAGGACACAGGCGAGATGGAAGGCAATGTTCCATGGTATGATCGGGATCGAGAAGGATACTTTGAGGGCACTGCGCGTATTGAAATACCCGATGCGAAGAGTTTCGATGGTAGCTTGCACGGCGATGCTTATGAAAATGTTGAGAAATGACCATCCTACGACTTTGAGCTCTCGACCCCGGACTCCTCGTCGCTTGCTCCCAGTCGGGAGACCGTGTTCACCATGCGCCTTGAGCAGGACGGCGGCGGAGGGGACAAGCGCATCGAATAGAAAGAGCAGCGCCGAGGGGAGGATATAGAACAGCAGTCGCACGCCTATGGAGCCGAACAGCTCAACCTTGAATGGGGAATGCGACAGGATGAGAGTCGTCCATGTCATATAAAAGAAGATCAAATTAAAGGTGGTGTAAGAAGGGGTGTAGGTGAAGAGACAGAAGAACAGAGCTGGGAGAGCCAAGACCCGATTCATGGTGTCGACGGCGATTGGGAGCTATTGAGGGTTCTGAAGAATAACGATCTGGCGGTAGGATCACAGTATCTAGCATCCCCTTGCATGCTTTCGCAGGCGCATCTTATATAGTGGGACTAGGGACAAAGGCGCAAAGTAGAAGAAAGTTTTGTGGTTATCGAAGTGAAAGACAGCCGCAGGAACAATGGAAGAGCAAAGTGCCTGCAGCAGCCGCCCGACGTCACGACCCACTAGCCCTAAAATGGCGCCTCGCTTTGTCAACTCTGCGGCTATTTTCGGCGGCGGACAAAGGACCCATTCAAGCATCCGTTGGAGGTTCCAGACCTACAAGTAGCTTCAAAGGCTTCGTTCGTTGCAAGTGTATCGCCATTGGTCTACGCCTCTCCGTTCTACAGACGTTTCAATCCCTGCTCTGATATCCGAGATTACAGTACAGCCTATGGAGCCTGGCCGTCAAACTAGAAACTAAAGACAGTGGAACAATGATGATGTTGAAATTAATGATCAATCGGGATTTTTCAGTACATGATACTCCAGGCGAACATATTAATGGTCATAAGGATAAAGAGGCACGCTCAGGGTATCTAACGCATACACCAAACGACGACACACAAAGCATAGCAAGACCCCCATCGATTACTCTCTCCGGCGACCAGGGACGCCGTGCTTCTCACCCCAGCTCCAGGCCTGCCTCCTGAGATCGGGGCTCACATGCAAGAACAACAAGTTGCTGAGCCAGCCAGTGAACGTATCCTTAATGAAGGAGTTCCGCTGGCTGCCTCCGAGCGCTGATCCCTTCATGACATCGCCAACGAACATCGTGGTGATCATGTACTCACCCCTCTCCAGGGCCTTGATCGCAATGTTTGCAACTTCTCTAGGTGTCTGTGGCTTATCAGCAGCCTCCAGCTTCTTGGTCAAATCCGGCTTGAGCTTCTGTTCGTTGTCGAATCCAGGGCTGAGAATGCCCATGGGGAAGACGGTATGGATCTTGACGTCCGTAGCTGGAGCCTCCGAGCGGCACTTGTCGGCGCGAGAACCGTTGTACATCTCAATTTCTTGGCTGAGAGTATCAGACAATGAGCGAATTGCAGCTTTGGCAGGTGAGTAAGGGGCATAACCAGCAATGGGCACGAATGCGAGGGTAGAGCATGTGAAGATGAGGTGTCTAGGAGGTAGCGGCATTTGCTGGCTGGGAGTAATGGGTACAAGCCACCGTCTCAAGATTGCATGAGCAGTGTTGGCAGCTGTCCAGTACACCGTATCCATTTGGTCCCTCAATGTCTGAACGGGGGTCTCTGCAAAGAAGCCGGGACTGCAGTATCCTGCACAGCACCATACGATATCGGGGGATTGTCCGTGGTTCCATTCGGTGACTTCGGCCATGACACGGTCACACTCGGCAGCATTGGTCAGGTCTGCACAGATGTAGTGGAATCTCTGTCGCTCGGCTTCAGCCGCGGCACCCTTTAAGAACATTATGAATTAGCTGAAATTCACCCTGAGACCAAACGTCAACTTACCTTGACAGTCTCAACGGCATCCTGGAGCTTCGACTCCGTGCGTGCGACGAGCACAACATTGGCACCCTTCTCTGCAAGCTGGCAAGCCACGGCCTTGCCCATCCCCTCCGAACCTCCCGTGATAACAACGGTCTAAAGAAGAGGTTAACCGACTATGCCACGGGCAAGAAGTTGGAGGGAACAATGGAAACATACCCTGCCCTGAACGACGAACTGGTTACGACCGAATCCGAACATTTTGCTAGCAGAGTATAGGAATAGTCCGCAAAGAATGGTATAAATTCCCAGCGTAGTCGGGGAAGAGTCGTAAAAGGTGGTGGGTATCAGAGAATGCATAGGAAAGAAGAAAGAGAAAGGACTTTGGGGGAGAGGAAAGAAATGACAGATGTCTGGGGCTGTTCGAGGCTTCTTTTTCTGGGACAATGGCCGATGAGGAGAGAAGGAAGCGGTATTCTTGTTGCTTTTTGGGAAAGATGATAGGAACAGTTCCAGATAGGAAGGCGCGATCCTCCGCGGAACATGGGCCCACCAAACGGTGCAAACACCCAATTGGGGACTAGTGTCTGCCGGGCGGTGAGAGTGTCCCTCCCAAATTTTTATTGCGAAAGTTTATCGATTCGCTGCGGAGGATTTGGTCCGTACTAGCAATTCTACCTCTTACTCCCTCATACACAATTTATCATGGGTAAAAAGAGAAAGGCTGGTGGTCGCCCTGCGGCCCCTAAGGCGGACAAGCATGGCCCGTCCAAATTCCACATTGAGGAGCGATTCGATGATTCGGAGGATGAATTCCAGACCGGTCGCGACCAGATCCTGCTGGAAGAGGCGCCGGAAGCAAAGAGACGTCGGAGGGTGGCTGAGGAAGGTTGGTTGCACAAAGCGCATTCTGTGGATATGTTTAACTAACGGGATACGCTTTTAGAGGAGCTTCTCCAGGCATCGGACGAAGAAATCATGGGATACGATGACGAGGACGACGAGGATGATCTAGATCTTGATGATGAGGAAGACTTTGACGAAGGCGATGACTACGATAAGGACGACATGGATGGTGTTCAGTCAAAATCCAAGTCGAAGCGCGGCGGCAGTCCGGGATCTGAAGACGACGAGGAAGGTATCGCCGCTTGGGGCTCTTCCAAGAAGGATCTTTACAGTGCGGATCAGATCGAAACGGAAGCAGACGCTCTTGAAGAGGAGGAGGAAGCTAAGCGACTTCAGCAGAAGCATCTACAGGCCATCAATGAGGAAGACTTCGGCTTCGACGAATCTGAATGGGTCGAATCCGGCAAGGACCAGAAGGATGCAGAGGATGGCGGTGAGGTGACAGAGGTTCTCCCGCAACTGGAGATTACGGAAGATATGAGCGAAGAGGAGAAATTGAAGATACTCAAGTCCAGATATCCCGAGTTCGAGCCCCTAGCGAAAGACTTCGCCGACCTCCAGTCCACGCATCAGGCCCTCGCCAAGGCCGCTCAAAGCTTCAATGCCAACGATGACTCCGAAGATGCTCCGGAATCCGCACCGGTTACCGTCGTCAAGTTCCGCGCTCTGTCCGCTTACCTTGGTACGATCGGCATGTACTTTATGCTCCTGACCTCTTCCACCGACGACTCCGGCAAGCCTGCTCCACTATCGCCTGCTCAGCTACGAGCCCACCCCATAATGGGATCCCTAGTCAAGTTCAGAAAACTCTGGGAGACCGTCAAGAACCTCAGTGAACCCGAGCCGGAGGAATCCGAAGCCGAGGACGACTCCGAAGTTGACGAAATCATGGCCGACGCACCCACGCCCAAGCAAAAGAGCAAGAAGGGCGAGGAGCAAACTTCCAAGAAGAACAAGAAGAAGGCAGAGAAGGTATCCAAGGCACAGCGCGCCGCCGAAGCAGCACAAGCCGAGGCAGAGGCACGACGAGCAGAGCGACTCCGACAGACCGAAGCCAACCTCGCCGACCTGTCGAAGCTCGTTTCCGGATCGAGCAAGAAACGCGCTGCCCAGAAGACCAAGTCGACCAAGGAAGCCGACGACTCCGACTTCGGTGACGAAGACGCCCTCACAGCCAAGGAAGCCGAAGAGAAGGCCAAGCAGAAGCGCTCTCTCCGGTTCTACACATCTCAACTCGCCCAGAAAGCCAACAAGCGTAACGCAGCCGGTCGTGACGCAGGTGGTGATGCAGATCTACCTTACCGTGAGCGTCTAAGGGACCGCCAAGCCCGCCTGAACGCCGAAGCCGAGAGACGTGGTAAACAGAAACTGAAGGACTCCGAGCAGCTAGGCGGCGACAGTGACGAGGAAGACCACCGGGTCGCCAAGCAGCTCCGCGGCGACGAAGGGTCCGACGATGACGACTACTACGACATGGTCGCGGCTCGCGGCAAGCAGCGCAAGGACGACAAGAAGGCACGCGCCGAGGCCTACGCTGCTGCGGCTCGTGAAGGCGGTCACGTTGAGATCCAGGAACAGGTCGGACCCGATGGCAAGCGTGCCATCACCTACCAGATCGAGAAGAACAAGGGTCTCGCACCCAAGCGCAGCAAGGACTCTCGCAACCCTCGTGTCAAGAAGAGAAAGAGATTCGAGGAGAAGAAGAAGAAGCTCGGCAGTATTCGCCAGGTATACAAGGGTGGTGAAGGTCGTGGTGGATATGGTGGTGAACTTACGGGTATCAAGAAGAACGTTGTTAAGAGTGTTAAGCTCTGATTCTAGTTCTTCTGGTTCTGTTTCTTGGTACTGCGGTAGCACAATTGGAGACATACATTACGGGCGTTCAATGTGTGCGAAAACGGGTCTTTGTGTGTATATAGATAATCTTCTTCCCGATGATACAAACTTTTGTCTGACTGTTGATGATATTGCTGAAAACAGCTTCCACTAGTAAAGTAGACTGGCCGTAGCATAAAACATTGAATTCAAGAAGGCCATGAAAGCCCCGGATAGTCCACGCAGGTACTATTAGTACCATTGGTGCTTAATTCATAAGTAGCTGTTAGTAGTCTGTGCCGGTAACAGTTGTTGACGTGGACCATTAATCGTTCGGGTGATGGGATATATAATCTCGGCTGGCAGTCAAGAATCCGCACCAGATCCGTCGAACAATTTCTCCAGCCTATCCCTCATCAACTCAACATCACAAGGCGCAGACAAATCCAATGACAAGAACTCCCTCGCTAATTTGTCCTGGAAGCAAAACTAGTTAGCCTTGTCGTTTCTCAACCGGGGGACCAGAAATAGATAGACAAGTATATCCTACTGCATCATCCAGAGCCTGCGTCTCTTGAGCCGAAAGGACAGCGCAAGCGGCAATAAGATTTTCACCACGAGCAGATAGTGAGGCAATTTCGTCTGCTCGATCGACAATTTCCTGACTGATACCATTCATCGCGGCGCATCTGTATTGTGCTCAGTTAGAGCATACACTTAGAGCATAAATCTGAATCCTTGAATCTTCCAGAACGCACATTGTCCCAAAGCTTTGATCGCTTCGTCCTAGGCGGAAACTATGCCATGCGTCTTAGTCTCTCCTGCTTATGATTGTCGTGCGAGTGTTGGCGCTTTACTTATAGAGATAGGTGATCTGGTCTTCAGCCTCACCGGGTTCTTCATGCACACGGACCTCCATGTGGCCGAGTTGTAACCGCGGTCTAGGTTTGAGATAACCGTTCGCGAGAATCTCATGAAAGTGTGTTGCAGCTATGACTTTGGGAGCATCTTCGCGGTTTAGTAAATGTTCGAGGACTCCACATGCCAGTCCGATGCCGTCTAAGAGTGTTAGGTTCTAGCTGTTTATTCGGGCATGCAGGTATACGAACCATTCTCATTGGTGCCTTTGCCGAATTCATCTATCAACAGCAGACTACGGCCGGTTACCTGCTTCAGGTCAAAGGATAGCTGCTGCAGATCGTTCATGAAGGTACTTTGTATCTGAATTACGTGACGCAAGTTAGATTTCTCAGTATAGTAGTCGACTCACCAGCTTACCTGGGAGACGCTATCTTGAGTGTTTGACTTGACCAGGATTTTGTCAACGATTCCAAGCTCTGCACTTTCAGCTGGCACAAAGCTATACCGTTGAGTATAAGAGCCTTGAATCGTTCGAACTAGGCGTTACATACCTTCCCACCTGCGCTAGGTAGACAATGAGAGCTACCTGCATAGCACTTCATTAGCTAGTATTAATGGATGCCGGGGAAGGAGCTCACCTGCTTCATGTATACGCTCTTCCCAGAATAATTCGGCCCTGTAAGTAGTAGCATGCTTGGTCCATAGTCACTTTCGTGTGGGTTGGATGTCAAATGAAGAGACCCCAACGGCTCTCCCTGTGTCCTTCTACCAACCAAGAAGGTATTATTGGGCACATAAGACGAAACCGTAAGCTCCTGTAGGATGTGTCTACCCTTGTATTAGCTCTCTGGCCATGCTAACGCGCCAATTGTCTTACCTGCCGCCTCTGATCTTGATAACATCTCCTTCCACCATCTTAGGGCGCACCAACTTGTAAAAGCTAGCCGCTTGAGCCATTGCAAGAAGACTGTCACAGGTAAGATAATCTTGTCAATCGTCGGCATCCATCTTTTACCTGTCTATTTGCCCACATATATCTGATGCTTCCAAAAGCACCGTCTCATATTGAAGTACCCTTTGCGCGAGATCATAAACTATCTCGATCTCCTTCTCTAATAAGACTGTCAGCTGCATTGACCACAATAGCGCATCGAAAACCGAAGACAAACCACAGATTATGCCATAGATGTCACCTAATTTCTCATCAATCTCCCTCATCCTGAAGTCCTTGAAATAAGCTCTGTTTTCTGTGAAGAACATGAGTTCCCACTCGTCTTCGGCGCCCCTGTAAGCGGCGTCTCCCGCCTCATTGAGAGGAATCGCAATGTTGAAACCGAGTTGCGGGAAGTAAATGACATTGACATCTATGTCGTAGCTCTCGGGAATGGTCGTCGCTATCTCTATCGCAACCTGCTTCAAAAGACTATTCATACCGTCATACCTGTCCTTTATGCGATCCAACTCCCTGTCTATTCCAGGTTTCACAACGGTTCTGCCCTGTTCCTCTGAGCTATCAATGTCGACCTGATATAGTCAGAATCGGTTGATTTCGGTGAAGAGTATTGTACTTACTATTTCTTGTATCATTCTTCCGACTTTGTACAATTGAGCTGCCTCGAAAGCACGTAGCGCCTGCAACATGGTTAGACGACTTTCGAGTGAGCGAATCCGATGAGGACCTTGTTATGTAGAGCCAAATTAGCACCATTCGAAGTCTCTCGTAAAGCGTCTTGGATGTCAATTCCATAGAAAGCAAACTTATGCCATATTAGCCGGACATCACCACAATGAGAATGCCATGACATACGGCCAGTAAAGTAGCCCACACAGTCGCCTTGAACCCCGTAATCTTCCCGCTTCCGGTACTGATGCCTTTTCGAAGGTTGATCATCGCGTATTGGAGGTTCTTAATGTGCTTCAAGCCCCTGACCAGCTTGTCCAATGGATTAAAGTTGTCAGCCCTATGATACACACTGATGAAGGAATTTCGCTCATTGATAACGTCAAGTTCCACGCTCGGTCGGAGAAACATCTGCTTTAGTTTGTTTCTTCCCTGTGGTGTAGATGCAAAGCGCTGGAAGAGACCATAAACTGAAAGCCCTTCCTTTGATGACGTTGACTTTCTTCCTGGGCCCTGATTCACCATGCTGGGATGAGATTCAGATTCCATAATTTGGAGCGAAAGTAAGGTTCTACCGTTGACAAACCTAATCCGCTGTAAACAAATGCCTCACTGTTTCAAAGAAGATGAAGACTTACATAGTTCCGCTTAGAGTGAACATTTCCACGGATGAAACTCTGAAGATTCTAGAGGCTCCCTCGTTTAATATCGACATGGAAGCTCGACGCCTTTGTAGATAAGCGAGTATGGCACCAGCACATCCAATCGTCACTGTATTTTCCATATCGATGGAGCCGGACACATGCAGAAGCTTGCCTTCCTGCAATGTGAGGTCCAGATTCTCAGTATCTAATTGTTCACCGTCAACTAACCCACTGTGTGGCACGAAGAACTTGATGCGATGCTCATGTCTTGAAGATATTTCTAAAGCAATCAGTTTGTTCTTTGCATTGGAATAGTTGAATTCTTGCGATGGACGGACGTCAAGTTGGTAGGGGACATAGGAGTGTGTATCTGTAAATATCAGAGATGTCCAATTCTAATAAAACAGCAAAACTATGCTCCGCTAACTGCTAATTTGTTCATCCCATGGTCTTTCTTGGAGGTTGTTTGGATCCACACGGGGAGATATCAAGAGTACAGTAGGCTTCGTCTGGAGGACCACTTCAGATTCGTTAGTCGCCGAAGCATGAGAACAGGGAAGGTCAGACAAACAACTGTCGATCATATCCTTACTGGAGTGGCGTAGATCGCCTAGGAGGTATAGTGTCTCTTCCAGTGCTGAATAGTAGGAACATCCGACAGTTCCCGAATCTCTCATATCCACTGCCACTATAACTTGTTCAAGCTCATCATCGATGGAGTACTCAAACATGGCACCACCAGATCGAAACTGCTCAGCATTGGTAGAGGTAAGTGTTCTTGCTCTTAGTGTCTCTTGTGAAGTGGGAGGCAAGTTGCCTGAAGTCATCGGTCGTGGAAAGTCGTCATGATTGGACGAGAGATTGAAAGAGTCGACATGTCGGGGATGTGTCGTACGCTTTCTTTTCGTTCGTGGCTCCATAATGCATGGGTGACTGCTTTCAGACTGAGCAAGTGTCTGCTAGGAGGTTCATCCTATGAGGCGCGGGACATGGGAGAACACGCCTTCAAAGCGGCATGACTTTACCAGATCAAGTGACAGCCCTGAAAATTTACAACACCGAGGAAATAACGGAATGGAAATTCTTTAGTAAATATGTACAATTTAGTCGTCACTTATGATACACTGATTATGCTATGATACATGAGTAAGAGTAGAGATCAAGTCATACAAGGTCATCATCTTAGCACCTTTTCCAGACAATAGCGCCGAATACCCAAATATAAGAAAGAGCAAAGTGCGTAATGAGTCTTAGGAACTTTCAGTTTCTGTCGTCACCGGAGCTTCTGCTGCTACTGCAAGCCCACTCTTATCGGCATTGAACGTGACACGAGCAGTTTGCCCAGAAGTGACTTCGCCGCGAATGATCTTATCAGCCAGCTTGTTGCCGATTTCTTTGGCGATCAAGCGGTTAAGGGGCCGGGCTCCGTATTTGGGATCGTATCCCTTCTCACAAAGCCAGTCTTTGATCTCGTCATCAACCTTCAGAATCATTCGGCGGTCGTCGAGACGTGATTGCAGCTCCTTCACTCTGATATCGACAATATCCCTCAGAGCGTCGCGGGACAACCTCTTGAAAATGATGAATTCGTCGATACGGTTGAGGAACTCCGGCGGATAGGCCGATTGTACAACATCCATAACCGACTTTTTGGTTTCAGGCGCAAGCTCGTTCTCACCACCTTCCTTGTAGGGGTGCAAAGGATCGGCGCCTACAAGAATGTCGGCACCGAGGTTCGATGTTAGAACAATGAGAGTATTCCTGAAGTCAACCTTGTGGCCCTGAGAATCCGTGAGGAACCCTTCATCTAGGACTTGCAAGAGCAAGGCAGAGATGTCGCGATGCGCCTTCTCGAACTCATCAAATAGCAAAACCGCGTAGGGCTTCCTCCTCACGGCCTCTGTGAGTTGACCGGCGTCATCGTATCCAACGTAGCCGGCCGGAGAGCCGATCAAGCGACTAATAGTGTGCTTTTCTTGGAATTCGCTCATGTCGAACCGAACAACAGCCGTCTCCGTAGAGAACAGGAACTCGGCCATCTTCTTGCAGAGCTCTGTCTTGCCAACACCCGTAGGACCGAGGAACATGAACGAGGCGAGGGGTCGGTTTTCGCCGCTAAGCCCTGCTCTTTGCATGCGGACTGCATTTGCGACTGCCGAAAGAGCCTCGTCCTGACCACGAACGGATTGACGTAGAGTGTCTTCCATTTTGATGAGCTTCTCCACCTCACCGGCCATTAGCTTGTTGACAGGTATACCTGTAGTCCGAGAGACCACGTTTCCAATATCATCGGCGGTGACGGAGTCGTGAATGAGACTAGTCTGGGCCTTTGTGGCTTGCTCTTCACCTTCTTTGGGAAGTTTGGCTTCGAGAGTAGGAATGGTGGCATATCTCAGTTCACCCGCCTTTGCAAAGTCTCCTTCTCTTTGAGCTTTCTCCAACTCGAAGCGAGCACGCTCCAGCTCCTCTTTGGCACGCTTGAGCTCTTCGATTTCCGATTTCTCCTTCTCCCATACCTCGGTCAATTTTCTCGCTTCTTCTTGTTTAACCTTCAGATCTTCCTGTAGTTTGTCTCTTCTTTCGCGGCTACTGACATCGGTCTCCTTGCGAAGTGACTCCAGCTCAATTTGAATGGTAGTAATATCACGATCAAGCTCTCTGATCACATCGGGCTTTGACTCCTGCTGTAGTCGTAAGGCGGACGCCGCTTCGTCGACCAGATCGATAGCCTTGTCGGGAAGGAATCGGTCGGTGATGTATCGGTTGCTGTAAGTTGCTGCCGCCACCAAAGCACCATCCGTGATTCGAACACCATGGTGCACTTCATACTTGTTCTTGATACCACGCAAGATGGATATGGTAGCGGCAACCGAGGGCTCCCCGACCTGTATAGGCTGGAATCGTCTAGCCAAAGCCACGTCCTTCTCAATCAATCTGTATTCGTTCAAAGTCGTAGCACCGCAGCATTGCAGCTCACCGCGAGACAATGCCGGTTTCAAGAGGTTGCTGGCGTCGATACTGCCTTCGGCCTTTCCCAAGCCAAGCAAGGTATGAAGCTCATCAATGAAAAGGATCACACCCCCTTGCGCATCCTCGACCTCCTTGAGGACAGATTTCAACCGTTCTTCGAAGTCACCTCTGAATTTAGCACCAGCAATGAGAGACCCCAGATCCAGAGAAATAACACGTTTGTCCTTAATGCTCTCGGGAACGTCTCCTTGAACAATTCTCTGCGCCAAACCCTCCAAGACAGCAGTCTTTCCGGTACCCGCAGCTCCGATCAAGACGGGATTGTTTTTCGTTCGTCTGGAGAGAACCTGGATGGTGCGATGGATTTCGGCATCACGTCCAATGACCGGGTCCAACTTGCCTGCCTTAGCCCTGGCTGTGAGGTCGACACCGAATTGTTCCAAGGCTGACTTTTCTGGTTCACCACCAAGGTTCATGCGATGGGTACCTCCGGGAGGATGAGGGCGACCATTGGCATAAGTGCGTACAGGCAAGACGGACGGGAGCCGGGCGACATTCGTGATCCGGGTGGGCACAACTAGACGCAATGCCTGAGAAGGTTGAAGAAGGCGGTTCGATGACGGTAGGGAGGATGGTCGGAGAAGTCGACCCCGAGCGAGTTGTAACCTTGACGACATGACCAAACAGCCGACCGTGTGCACAGTTGGGTGTGAAAGCAAAAGGTACAACACTGCAGATCTTCAGACCAGCTCCCGATATAGCTGGGGAGACCTATATACCTCGCCGGGACAGGCGGCCAGCCGATTGCCTCTCAGGCGTCGCGAGGCTTCTCGAAGGCTCCACCGCACGGCGAACGATGAGTGGCGGAAGCTCCCCCAAAAGGGCCAGCTAGCTCCGTCACCGTGGGGTCACATGACCGGCCGGAATGAGGGGCTCAGTTGGTGCCGCCGAAAAATTTCACTACTCGGACCCTCCGCTGAAAAAATACTTCAGAACACCTTTCCCCTCCTATTTATTCCTCCTTTTCTTCTCCTTTCCTTCTACTCACCACACACATCCCCCAAACACACATTCACAATGGGTTTCACTGATCTTGCCTCCGAAGCCGGCCTTACCCGTATGTTCTCACTTTCCCTTTCTTTTTCATCATTTCCCTTTCCAATCTGCTCTCAGCAGTAACTAATGGTACCCCTCAGTTGCCAACAACTACCTGGCTACCAGGAGCTACATTGTTGGGTAAGGCACACCTTTAGGGATCCTTCCCCCCTCCCCTTTTGCATTGGTGCCTTTTGAAAGATTCTTCCTTGTTTGCATGATGAAAAGAAATTGGTCCGTGTTTATGAGGCGGCTTAAGACCCCGCTGCAAGATTAAACACAATGCGAGAAATCGCGCTTCTGATTACTTGGAAAAATTCTTCTTTGCTTTCTGTTTTCCGTCATTCATGAATACCTTCGCTAGCGATGATGGTGGCACAAAGCTAACTGGAATATAGCGATGCTCCCTCCCAGGCCGATGTCGTGACCTTCAAGGCCTTCTCCGGTGCCCCTGACGCCGAGAAGTACCCCCACGCTGCTCGCTGGTACAAGAACATCGCCTCTTTCGAGGCTGAGCACGCCTCCCTCCCCGGCGATGCCTCCAAGCCCTACACTGCCTACGGCCCTGAGTCCACTGAGCTGCCCACCAACCCCAAGGCTGCCAACGACGACGACGACATGGACCTCTTCGGCTCCGATGAGGAGGAGGAGGACCCGGAGGTCGTCAAGGAGCGTGAGGCTCGCCTTGCTGAGTACCGCAAGAAGAAGGAGGCCAAGCCCAAGCCCGTTGCCAAGTCTCTGGTGACTCTCGAGGTTAAGCCCTGGGGTATGTTTTATCTCCATATATCGCATTAATTGTGTATGATTCTAACCAGTCACAGATGATGAGACCAACCTTGAGGAGATGGAGGCCAACGTCCGTGCCATTGAGATCGACGGTCTCGTCTGGGGTGCCTCCAAGTTCGTTACCGTTGGTTTCGGTATCAAGAAGCTCCAGATCAACCTTGTCGTCGAGGACGAGAAGGTCTCCCTCGACGAGCTCCAGGCTCAGATCGAGGAGGACGAGGACCACGTCCAGTCCACCGATGTTGCTGCCATGCAGAAGCTGTAAGCGGAACGTTGTTTAATGATGAAGATAAATGGCGTGATGATGGATTTTCTTATGCTATCCCACGGAAATATACTGTCATGAACTTGAATAACCCAAGCCGACTGGGGACACCCCTCGGCATAACGAATACCAAAAATCAAAAATACCCAATTAATACACTACTGGTGCAGATGTAGCCGATAATTTCGTAGATTAGTAGCTTTACCCCTCCTAATAGTTGAAACCACACCAAGTGGGATGACCTGAACAAATGAAATGCTGCCCAATTCAATCAAAACCTGGTTGGGCCTTTGGCGGGGGAGTGGCCGGTCAATCCGGACCTGAAATTCTTTGCCAAGTGCAGAAGAGGTTCCATAGGTCTACCGTAGAACTCAGTTGCGCAGATTACTACATACAGCTAGCTAACTACCACCAACTAGGTAAGCTGCTACTGATAGACCGGCCGGACACCCAAAGCTCACGAGCGAGCCAATCTCGACCACAGTCCCCGTCCACCACTCCGAATCTAATACCTTTCCTAATACCCATTACTTCTGAATCATCTCAACAAGATTAGTTACTGAAGAAAGAAAACAAAGATGGGATTCATCTCCCGCATTATCACACTCTTCGGCCTCGTCCTGCTCGCCCATGCGTACGTTGAACACTTACATTGATCCCTCCACATTACACCACATTATATCAGATCACTAACAAGACATACGTATAAATACTATAGAGGCTACTCCGCCCACGAACACACCATCCTGTACAGCAACACCGCAAGCACAGCAAGCGGCGGCACCGCCCTTCCGCTCGACATCGTCATCGAAGCCCTCGCATCACTAGTCCTCGTCTCGGCGGGACTTGTCCTCGGCGCAGAAAAGCTCAAGCCGATCAGTTGGAGTGAATGGGCGGGTCAGATTGAGCGCGAGGGTGGTGGGAGGAATCCGTATCGGAGGTTGGAGGAACGGTATGGGTTTTGGGATGTTAGGGTGAGTTTGACCCTACCCTTTTTTTCGATGTCTGGAGGATTGGGGGTATTGAGCTTATGCTGATGTGTTGGGGTTCTAGGCGAAGAGAAAGGAGTTTGCGGATTGGATGAAGGGGGAGGTTCCTGTTCCTGGTAAGGAATGAGTTGAGGGGATTGGGTTGGTTGGTTGGTTGGTTGGGTTTATTGGGTGTGGGAAGGGTGTATTATAGTTTTACGTTTGTGATTGATAAATTGATGGGATTTGGAATGAAAAAGATCTTTGATTGATTTGATATGATTGTTTATGATGGTTTGTCTTGGTGTGTACTCGATTGGGTGTTTGTGGGTTCAAAGGACTTGATATCAAGCCATGTGCTTGTTCGGTTTAGTGATCTACCGGTATAAATGTGGTATATCAGGATGCTATAAGGGCGAGTGTAGTATAGTCTCTGAGCATCTATGGCTGGTTCAATCAAGCTGTTGTAGAGCAGCGACGGAAAGTGGTGGAAGCTAACAAGATGCTGACTTGAACAGAAACTTAGTGGGGTAGGTGTTACCACTCACACACCAGTCTTGACTGTGACTACAAATGCCTCAAGCTCTACAGTCCTACCTACCTGCAGATATGCTCTACGCCATGGGCAAGAAAGTGGGATAGTCCAGAACCGCCCACGCAACGCCCAATACCCACCTGCAACGCGTATACCACCATCACATCCATCACTGACATCCAACATATCCAACCCTGCCATGGAGAATTCTTCCGTAAGATTAACAGCGTTCTTCGCGGCCCCGGCTTCCGCGGACCATTATCCGTCACGTTGATTGGAATGTTGTCCGTCCGGCGAACGGCTCGGTCTAGCCCCGGAGCCCAAGAGAAGTAAGTGGGTGTGATGGATGGAGTGCCAACGATGTATGCATTCAATCATTCATGAGCTTGCGCTGCGCTGCACGGCACAGGAAGATGGTATGTAAGTAAAAGCGTGTGTGTGAAGTAGTCGTGTACATGTCGACGCGTCCATCCATCGATATTGTCATCAACATCGTCATCTCTTGAGCGTTTTCAATGATGGGTTCGGGAATTATGTCCGGAGTTGGATATTGTAGACTTTAGGTTCTCCCCTTCCCATTTCAATAGGAGTTTGCGCGGGATGACGCGGCAGGACAATGGGGGAGTGTACTCGGTGTAGACACAGTTGACAGATGATGCTATGTTAATGTTGCTTGCTGGTAGGGTAAGTAATTAGTTGTGCAGTCTGCGATAACTGGACACAGCAGGTATTGAGTAAAAGCAGGAAGTTGTCTTCAAATTCATGGCAGGTGTCATCGGCCTTCACTTTCTTAGTTCAGTCATCCATCCGGGTTAGTCCTGCAGGTGACAAGAGACAGGCCACGCAAGAGTCAGTAGATCATTGAATTGTTAGTGGGCGAATGATATTCAACATGCATTTTATAGTGTGGTCAATCATCCATCGCAGCGGTATGCTCATCATGATAATTCTGGAAAGTGGTTGAGGCAATTCGGACCCCTCTTGCCTGACACACCCCAGTTCTCAATTTTGGACTTTCCATTCGGTTCTATTTAAGGTGCTGTGTCGCAAACCCTCAGCCCGTCTTGGCTTATACCAGCTAATTGAGTCGTCCAAGACGGGAAGTCAAGAACATATCCAATAGGGGGAATTTACTTGAATTAGCAGTTCGTAAACGAGGAAGGAGATGGTGGGGTAAGTTGATGGGTTGATTAGTTGGGAAGGAAGAGAAACAAGCGCATGTCTAAAGCAAGACACGGACAACACAACGGCACACAGGTTAGGCCTTCTGACTGGTTTGAATGTAAGACATATCACGGTGACATGGAGGGTAGACGTAAGTACTCCTCTGAAGTGGTTCAGATTGTTTGGGTAGGATCAATATCCAAAAGTGATTAGTGAGGCATTATTCAATGGACATGGAAATAACAACGGGCATGGAGATGATGGATGCTCCAAGTGGGTATGAATACGAAGATCTATTAGTAGTAGTAGGTATCTATAGGTGCAAGCATGTGAATGACAAGTCCTTTTCTAAGTACTTCCGTAGCATTTTACTCTGCTCAGTCTAGGTCTATTTAGTCTATTTAGTCTAAAGACGGGGGAATTGGTGGGCAATAATAGTCAATAATGAGGAAAAGCAACGTAACCCAAAACCACCGCTACCAGCCTTACCCCGTAACCCCGAGAACGATAGGTCTTTTTTCTTTTGTTTCTTCTTTTCCCCTGCCTTCACGGGGGTAAAGACAGGCAATTTTAGCGACCACAAAGAAAATAAAACTCCGGACCATGGACCCTGTTATGTAACGTGTATGTGAGTTTTCACCGAAAGGACATCTCAGTTCAAAGGCTGGCGCCATCTACTACTTATTGATTGATTTCTCATTATAAATTAGTAGCAGTATTTACTCAATGCTCAATTTGGGTGGCGCCCCCACCAATTGGAGTGGAGGGTCTCAATCTCGACCGAATTAACGGGGGAAAATGGAGAGATGGCGTCCGAGGGTTGAGATTGAGACAAGGGCGGGATGGAGAGAGGGGCGGTTGAGCATTGGCAGGGTTAGAGAGAATTCTTAGCCTCGCCTAGATACTACGGGGATGTTTCCCATCTTTTAACCCTTGTGCCCTGCCATGCGTCATGTTCATCCCTGGACGAGGGAGGGAGGTAGAGAGTTGAATCGAGTATGAATTCAGTGTGTTCATTATTGCCCAGTTGATAGGTATGGAGTACGTGTGCGAAGCCCTACAGTATTTCCCTTGCATCACGCGGGTGGTAATTAAGTAAAATGTCCGTATCCGACCCTCTTGGAGGCCGGAGATTTGAGACCCCTGATACCGCCGTACCTTACGGTAGACTGGTCTGGCCTAGTGCTATGTCTTAAATGGAGGAGGGCCGGGGAAAAGTTAATATGAAAGAAGAAAAAGTAAAAGAAGAAAGGAAATAAATAATAAAGAAAAGGATTGATCGACACTTCCCAAGTCCATGCACACCTCGCATCGGTTGCATACGTACGCTTTGCTCATGTAGGAACAAGACCAGACAGCAACTGTGTTCTTGGCATCTTGCAGGTCAACTATACTATTTACTAACTAGTTCTGTCCTTTCTCTTATTTATGGTTGATGTTAATTATTTTTCCGGATCGGCTCTACTCCGGAAGGAGACCGAGAATGAAAGGTGCGTAGAAGTTCTTATGAGCCATGCAGGGGTCGAATCAAGTTCTATTGTGTGGTGGTGCCGAAGGGCTCGTCATGATCTTACGTCAGGTATCGATTGTGAGGGTTGGGATGGATGGATGATGCGTCTTTAGGTGGTTTGTTACGTGGACAAGCAGGACGTGGGAGTAAATGAGGCTTGCTATCGGTTAAGCATTGCCGTTGCTACAGTATCTTCCAAATCACCAGCTTGTCTGTCGGTCGAACCCGTCAGTTGTTGTTCTTCTTCGGAGTGGCGTGCCTGACGGCTATGAAAGGCTAGACTGGTCGGATGTACTGCCTCGTATGACAAGCTTTGAATGCGTGGCTGGGAAAGACAAGACAGGATAGGACAAGGCATTCATGCGGTGGCAGGCATGCTTCGTATGTTAGGACCTGAATAGTCTCTTTTGCCTTTTTTTTTTCTGCAATTTGCCAAATTGGCTGGTCCATGCGGGCCGGTGGTGCGCATACCAGAGCGGCCCTAAGGATGGGTGACTCCGGTAATCTAAAGATTTAGTGGGAAGGGTGAAGGCCCGCCCCTTCAGTGGTGCTGTGACTGTCCAACGTTTATTCTTCTCTGTAGTTTTGATTGACGTACTTGTTGAGTAGATATTTTGTACCACTTGCTCCCTTGAGTCTAGGCTTGAAACCTTCAAAACAAGGTTAGAATGAGTATCATGTCCAGGAGATATCCCTTAATAGAAATTTGATCAGTGACCCATTAAACTCAAAACAGATGTAACAAGAGAGACAACAACAACAAACAGATTGAGAGACTGGGGCTTTCCCAATTTTTCTTTGCTTTTCTCCCACCCCCATCATTAATTGCTTCCATTCCCACTTCGGTCAAGGGCGAGATTTGAACCCAGGTTGCATTCACATTATTCGAACCAACCGCGGTGGCTCCAGGCGTGTAGATCTATAGGACACGACCATCATTGGGCGGGGCGCCCTCAGCAGGAGTGGATCGCGGCAGCTGACGCTGTGTTCCGATGGCCTCCCCAAAAATAGCAAAACAGAGCAGAGGTATACGCAACCCTCTTGCGGAGGAGACCATTCAGAATGCTGACTAACTGGACTAGTGGCCCGTCTTGGGGCACTTGAGTTGCGCCATCTGATGATTGTTTACTCTCCAGTACGCCTTGGCATTGGTCTTTCCAGCATCGTCCTGCACGCTCGATGCTGGCTCGTCCCGCCCTCTCAGCCACGGGCAGCGACTCAGACTCATCCAGAAAATGCGAGACGCGGACCGAGCTGCTGATGCTGCCCTTCGCCCGGTGGGTCCCTTTTCCCTCCATTGCCACTAGGAGTGTAGAGTGTAGACGAGGAGGTTGTGAAAGGTGTGCAGACAGGGCTGATGGAGATTGCTGAGGGATGAATGGCACCTCTTGTGTGCTGCAATTGCTTTTGGTCTCACTTTTGATTTTCTTTTTTTAATTCCTAATTTTATTATTATTATTTTTTGGGGCTCGACTTCCCTCTTTCCACTCCCCCTGCTTTACTCTATTTAAAGGATGCCCCTGCGCCTGTCAACCACTGCGTCCCTTTCCCTTCTTCCTCAAGTGATATAAAGTATCCCCTACGGTCGTTCCACGAACCTCAACAACTTTCGCTTCGCCTCTTCACTTCAAAGACACTCGCTAGTCTATCGATCGCCTTCGCACGATCCACTTCAATCTACCACCCGAGCACTCAGATCTCGATATCACTCGCTAGCAAGATGCGTTCTTCCATCCTCCTCGTCGCTTTCTCGGCTCTCGCCGCTGCTCAGTCCTCCGTCGCTGTGGTAAGAAGCCCTCTAGTCCTACACTCGTCTTATGCTTGATCGATTGCTAACACACAACCACAGCCCCAGGGTCAGCCCTCCGCTGCTGTCACCTCTTCCCCTGTCATCCCCACTCAGGGCTCTCTGCCCGCTGGTGCTTCCAGCGCTCTTATTGGATCTAGCGGTGTTCCCTCTTCCTTCGCGAAGTCGGCCAGCGCCTCTGCTTCTACTTCCACCAAGACCTCCACCAAGACCTCCAGCTCCGACTCTTCCACCTCCACCAGCGACTCGTCCTCCAAGAGCGGCTCCAGCTCCAGCTCCAGCACCTCTTCCGGCGCTGGTGTTCCCCTCGCCACCGCTGGCCCCGTCGGTCTTTCCGTCGTGGCTGGTGCTGCCCTTGCCGCTTTTCTGTAAATGAAGAGCACAAGTGGTCTTCCTTGCCCTTAGAGGGAGTTGAGTCTCGACCGTCACACACTCCACTCTGGTGGGGAACAGCAGATACCCATGGCGATCGAACCTTCCATCCATTCTAAGCCGCAAGGGTCAGGCGCTATGAAATCAAAGGGGATGGATGTTCTGCGGTTTTCTTTCTTCTGACATATGTAACATTGCTGGGAAGGCTTTTATTTCTTTGGATCTTCCTTTCAAAGGTTCACCGCGTGTTCACCAGAGATTCATAACTGCGGCGCACATAAGATTTCATTTCTCTAGTAATTTTTAATCGTTTAATGAAGACATGGTAAATACACACATTACACAGGGATTTTCTGGAATGCCGAGACCGCCCCTTTCATTTTAGATCCAACCACTTGTAAGACTGGAGTAGTGAGAGCTTAATTCGAAGGGGTTAAAAGCAATTGACTAGAGGCTTAAACATAGATACCATCGCAAGTCAGTTGTGGGACCTACCGTTCATGGCATGGGCTTGAGCCTATCCACAACCCCAGATCTAATACATTGACAAGTCTTGCGCCACCCTGAAAGAGACTAATCAAAATGTGTAATTTCGAAACCAACCGTTATAGAGGCTCTTAAACGGCCGCGTTTCCAAGTTGTAGTTAACTCTCACGTGCTTTGTCGTACTATTCTGCTCCCGCCAAGCATTCATTCTATAGTTACTTCTTGTCCTGACTGATGTTCGACTCCAGCGACCTCTACTCTGCTATTTAGGCCGATGTTACTTCACAAGGTGAACTCTCAGACGTCTAAAAGACTACCAATATCGCAAGTAATAGATATACGCCACTCAGGCTACCGCATGCCACTACTTTTTTTGGTTCCTTATTACTCATGCCATCATACCATCAAAATAGTTAGTAGTCTACTCTATACAGTAGAACACTTGCATTAGCAAATTAAGTAGTAAGATCTAGTGCTGCTATCACCACTCGTCGGTTGCAAGCGAGTTATACATGGCTATTGAACTGAAGAAGGGACTATACCTTATGAGGATTTCACCTCTCATACTAGCCACAGATTATACAGGGACTGGTGAATACTACTACAAATGAACCCTACCCGTCTTTTAGAATGAGAGGAAGGGAAGTAGAAGTAAGCGGTTGCTGAGGATGTCGGGTTAGATCCTGGAGCACCTCGACATAGGAGATGATGGAGGGGTAGGAAGGCCATGTAGGTAGCAGAGGATCTGGTGGAGCGCTTGGCTACGGTGAACGGTCTGAAGGTTGCTGTGGTACTGAAAGTGCTCTGGAAAGATGTTGCTGTATACAAGGAGATAATTGAAGGTCGCATGGTTTTGGTCGCCATCTTGAGGATACAAAGTAGCGATATATTAACTTACCTTCCTACCTGTGCTAGAGCTGGTGCCGACAGGCTAGATGGTCTAGTTGGCAAGGCCACGGCACTCGGAAGAGAGGCTAGGTTTTTTGCCCACTGGGACCGGGTTAGATCATGACTTTGCGCCCTTCATTTTTTTTTCTTTGTTTTAATCAATCGCTCAGCTACCTAGCTAGTCATGATAGTCTTGGTTCGCTTTAAGAGAAGATAATCAACGGTCAACGGCGCTAGATGGTATGTTTGGTGGTACGGCCCCAACAAGAGTAGCTAGCTGTTTTGCCCCTAGCTTTGGGATCAAGACCGATCCTGCGCTCTTCCTTTTGTTTGTTACCTTGTTGGGCCAGATCCGTCAGTTGCCTTCATCCAACAGATATGCTACAGTGGCAGTTTTCATCTGCTAAACACGCTGCTCGAATTTGCTGCTCCTTCTCGATGCTCCAGGCAGTAAAGTAAGTAGTTAGTTATAGTTAAGTAATAAGTAACCTATGGGGTGTCATCCCGTAAGCAGCTCATTACATTTCCTAAAACGCGCAGTTCAGACGCGAATACACGTGACTGATCCACGCGTGCTGTTTCCTTACCCGATGTGGACTAGTTAACAGCGCTTCACCTCATCAAAACAAAGAACAACAAGCGGCCGTCGGGGGCAACGGATCGGGACCGAGCCATCATCATCCACCTTGCTGCGAATCAACTCTCGCCTTGCCCGACTCTCACGGTCCACAAAGGGATTTTCGTCTGTGTCACTCGCCTAGATCGACAGGGGCAGCTGGACGAACAGACCACGGCACAACCATTGATCCCACACGAACCTAGCCTCTGCTAGCAACGCAACACCTTCGGCCTCAAATTTGAGGTCGACGTCAATTAGCCAGTATGGTAAGTTACCTTGCTGTCCAATGCCAATCAGCCTTTCCTCGGTTGAGCGACGATCGTCTGACATCCTCGTGTTTTCCCTTCAGGTATCATCTCTACGACGTCTCGCAGCGGACCATGCAGCGTTGCACGAAGAACTCCCTCCCAACTATCTCTTTCCCTCCGACGATGCCTCTGCCGGGGACGACTTGACACAGCTCACCACCCTCCTTGCCGGACCACAGGGTACACCATACTCGCAGGGTCTATGGCGATTGCATCTGAAGATGCCGGAGGACTATCCTAAGAGTCCACCAAAGGCCACATTCAGGACAAGGATATGGCATCCAAATGTAGAGGAATCGACGGGTGCGGTCTGCGTGGATACACTGAAGCGGGACTGGAAGCCCAACTTGACCCTGAAGGATGTTTTGATCGTATGTATCCTTACCATATACCTTCGACAATTACTGATCCTCATCTGACATGGTTCTTAGACAATCTCCTGCCTCCTCATATATCCCAACCCAGACTCCGCACTGAACTCCGCAGCCGGCGCACTTCTCCAAGAGAACTACGATGCGTTCGCCCGCCAAGCGAAACTCATGACCTCCATCCACGCCCCAGTTCCATCAGACTTGGCTTCAGCGGTATCCGAGGCGAAAACGAGAGGTGAAGACTCCGACACAGTCATCCCAGAAGAGCAAGAATTGTCCCGCTCGCTACGACCACGAAAGGGTGCCAGAATCGCCTCAGTCACTATGAAAAAGCGAACTACTCGGAGGAGTGCCGCAGAGAGCTCAAGCTCACGGGCACTATCTCATCAACCCAGCACACCAATTGAACGAGAAGCACAGGAACCAGAAGAACCTCACGATACCCTCACCCTTGATACGACCGTCTCCGACAGTGAATCAGAAACATCTACCAACGCCAGTAAAGAGAACGACCCTTCCCTATCTCCTTCCCCAGTCCGACTCGCACCACCTAGCATCCGCAAGAACGCTTTCGGGAAACGTCCCCTTTCCGTCCTAACCGTGCCAATGGACGTAGACGACCCCTTCTCCATGGACACAGAAGACACAACAACAGGCGGCATGTCCGCATCCGAGAAGAACATCGCAGCAAATCATCCCAGCGAGCTCCCGGAGCGCGGCCACTCTCCACAGAGAAAGTCCCCGAAGCTGTCCGTACTCGACAAAGGCATCAACTCATCAGGTCGGATACGCGAGGATGTCCAGATCTTCGAAGACGATCCCGATCCTGCCGAGCTAGGCTTCATCCGACGAGCCAGCGGCGACGGCAAGGAAAATCCCCGAGCCTTGGCCGGTCTAAAAGATACCGACCCTGCAATCCGGATGTCTAATCCAAACTATCCCCTCACGATTCTTGCCCCCTCGGCATCGAGATCCGTCTCCTCCGGCTCGCGCCTATCAAAACCAATCACGGGGTCACGAAAAGTCTCATCCTCGAACGGTAAAAAAGCCAAACCGCGCATCGGTATTCGCAGACTCTAGACATACTAATCACCACTGCTACTTATACCCACGCCTGTATCTTCTCAATACCCTCATTCTATTCCCTTCCGCTACCTTACTACATACCATACCGCTACCACCCTTTAATACCCAACCGAACATAACCGCAACCACTCATGAACACAAATACTACATGCAATACATTGTGAATGAACTTCATCCAAAACAACCTTCAGCGTCATCACGTGCAACGAAAAAATAACCCCGACAAAGGAAATGGATACCTCCTTCTTTCATATTGATTACTACATTACCAGGCATAGCTTGTCCCCGTTTTGCATATCCTCACGGCGTGTACCGTACCCTTGCTTCTTTCCTGCTTTCATAGCCATTGGCATAGGCATAACTCTACATAGCGTGTTCATACTCCATACACAAAGACCAACGATCATGCATTGGATGGGTCAGTACAATACAACAAATACAATACGTTGCTACTTTCTTTCACTCAATTCTTCACTTGCTAAGATACTAGGCATGACTGGATAGCTCATGAGAAATCATGAAAAATGATAAAACTAGAATAGAAAATCTCGTGATCAACCTTCAGCCTTCATGAATTATGTTTTGGGTAGTACCTGGTAGTGCCAGTGCTTGCTCAATAATAGTCCTTGGTCAATAAGGACTGCGTCAGCTCATGGATCTCCGTGGCACGCGGTTGCTACTTCGTATGCTATTGTTCACTGTTAGAGGCTGATACGACTTAGTTGGCACGCTCCGCGTTAGGCACCCTATCAATAGGAGCGACACTAGCTATGTGGATCAACTATGATGCTAAGGGCAATGTGTATGGTGATCACATGTTTAGTTGGACTACATTGTAACACCTACTGGCCTGTGCCAAAAACCATCAAACAACTTAGTAATAATGAGCTATGCAAATATCTAGGATGAATAGACAAATTTTCCGAGGCAGCCCTCGCATCCGACTTCCCCTCAGTGCAATCGATAAAGCCACACCTCGTCTCATTCCACTCCTGGGTCTCCTCGTCTTCTCCGCCCCCAAATGGCTCGTGCCTAAATCCGAAAGCCTTCCTAGAAGACCGGTATACTCCACAATTGGTTATCTGGAGCTCTTCCTCCATGAGGCCATATCGCGGGACTAATTTGAAATCAACTCGGAACAAGAGATCCACCGTTTGGCTTGTAAGGCCTCCAGCAATTATAAGATAAAAAAGACAACACGCTAAGTCGATTAAAGCATAATACTGCAGAGGAATGAGAGGTTGGCGGCTATGCAAGGGTAAACCAGTTCAGGCGACGTTGATAGAATCGAGCCGCGGGGTCACACCATCACACAACCACCCTGATGGTCCACCAAGCAAAGACCAAAATCTGTTTCGCAAACGTATAGAACACATCCGGAGAAGTGAATATTTCGGGCCCATCTACAACGCGTAGGGGTTGACAGAACGAATAGTGAGGCATCTGCAATTTACGTTAGCTTTCAGCACGAACCATCATGAATCGCAACAAAAACAAAGACAGCACTTACGGGGGACTC